AGCTTCTTCATCCTTTCCATTGTTCACTTCCCGTTTCTTGACTCTGAGCAAGTAGTTGTTTAGGTTGTCCTGTGAACAACAAAGCCAAATTAGTCAAAATTGATCGAAATATGCCAAAAGGACTATTTTAATATCCTTTGGCAATGTGGGAACATGATGATGCTACGCAATTTCTTCATTGCAAAGCTGTCAAGGTTGGTGGAATATCCAACGAAAAGTGACATAACTTTTTGCTTATTCAGGATCATCTTAATGAGACAAATTGGCATTTAATTACTCACATCTCGGAAAGCTTCTTCATCCTTTCCATTGTTCACTTCCCGTTTCTTGGTTCTGAGCAAGTAGTTGTTTACGTGGTCCTGTGAACAACAAATCCAAATTAGTCAACCTCGTGCGGAATTGGCCAAATGGAGCATAATATTCTATGATTCCTTCACGGACTACTTTATTGGTGCTCTCTCTACTTCACTCTGTTGACTTCATTCTGCTTTATAGTCTAACTCTTTCAAAGCGACACTGTTCTACTATTCTGTCGCTCCCGACTATTCGGCAAGTTTTCTCTTCTGTTCAACAGTTCAAGCGGTCTCGCTCTGTCCTCACAAATGCAGCACACATTCGGAAGCTTTCTCTTCTATTGTGTTGCCATAACTGCTAAAGTTGGAGGAACCATAAAATTTAGTTAGAATGGTGCTATCAATTTCCATTTATTGAAGAGCACCTTAATGAGACCATATCACATTGAATTACTTACATCTCTGAACGCGTCTCCATTGCTGGCATCTCGTTTGTTCAGTCGGAACAGATGTCCATTGCTGGCATCTCGTTTGTTCAGTCGGAAGAGGGAATCGGTGGGACTGACCTGTAAACAGGAACTACAAAGTAGAAAAAGTAGTGCAAAACTGGCCGAAAGAAGTGCTTCAAAGAAGTATATCATATTCCAGCTGTTTTAAAGCAGCTTCAGTTGCTTACATCTCTGAACGCTTCGGCATCCCGTTTGGTGAGTCTGATGCGGGGGTCGATACGGCCGTTCTGTAAACAACAAATCAAATTTTAAGAAAACTTGTGCGAAACTAACGGAAATGAGTGCTTAGATATCCGTAGACAATGCGGAGCCGAGAGAATCTTACACAACTCTTTGATCGCTTTTCCGGACTTGATCTAAGATGTTTTTATGGAATCGTTCTTTGGTGCTGTCTCTACTTCACACTTTGGAAAACTGCTTATTTCTTTTCTGTACCCCAGATTTTTTGAAGGAATTCTGTTCTCCTCTTCTGTCACGCCCTGATGTTCCGCAACAAACCCCTTCTGTTCTGTTTATGTAAGTTTATCCTGTCTCATAACTCTCTTCTGCGCCTCAAATTTTGGTCTTAACTCAAAAGTTATCATCACTCATCGTTCACGAAAGAGGACATTAATGAGACGAAATTGCAACGAAGTACTTACATCTCTGAATTGCTCGGCAGATCGCTTCATGACTCTCGTCAACATGTCGAAAGTATCGTCATTTGCCTGCAATGAACTCTTTGTCTTAATGAATATAATCGAAATGAATGCTTTTGGAATGCATGACCAGAAGTGTGCTCAAAAACTGACTGAATTCCATTCTATCGCATTCGCCAAATTTGAAAAGAGTCTGATTTTGAACGGATTTCTTGAGTCGAAGATTGAATGCTCTTAAAAAATGCAGTAATCAGTCGAGTGAATATAACTTTTAAAAAATTACCCTGATCGCTATCACTGCTACGGCGAAGATGCAAATGAACTTGATCATTGTGGTCTCTGAAAATACTTGTCAAGTTTAGAAGGATTAGGCCTTCGAACAGAATGAGTTTTCTGAGAGCGTACAGATTCCAAATGGAACTGAGGCACCTAAAGCAGTGAGGTCCTCGAAACTCCCGAAAATTTACTCTTTTTGGTTGCTAGATAACTCATCTTACCTCCTTCGGTGAGTTTTAACAAAGGCTGTCTCATCGTTAATAATCATTACTTTTATATTGCTCTCGGGTTTGTTTACTGTCAGCTTGCCTTGTCATTCAACTGACGATGAGTATTCGAAAGCGCAGCTGGTCATATTCGATCGTACAGTTTTGCGCAATTACTGCTAAAATTCGAATGAAGCGCGGCTGCAAAAAGAAAACCGATTGTTATTGTTATTATTTAGCTGTGTATGAAATTTGCAAAAATAACATTATAACTGCTTTATNCACCGAGCAACTCATAACCTGTTGGTAATTCCATAACGAATTTCATGGATAGAACTGTAATTGATGTTGAATTTGAATTATAGCACTGGAATTTAAGGATAATGATGTTCACCTTCTTTGTGGTTAAAGATTGGAAATGTTTTTAGAATTGTTCAGCTCTTTGAGACTCCACCCAATGTTATTTTTCTTCAGCAATGTCATGTAGAATTCTTATCAATAGCTGTCAGTTCTCAAACGACTGTAAATTCATAGCTTGTCCTTGTGATCTGTCGCATCGAATGCGCAACTATCGGTTAGTTACTGGACTGAAATGGGATTTTTTTCCCAAAAGTGATGACTTTCACAGATGCCGTTGTTCAGTGTTGCCTTTCAGTATCAAAAATCTCGATAATAATGCTCAATCTGCAAACAATTCCACTAAAAACAATTGCTGCATGAGTGAAGCTGCACTGGATAACTCAAATCAGCTGTGTAAGCATGACAGAATTGAGGATTCAAAATATTTGTCGATCACTTCAAAACTTCTAGTTGTATGAACAGAGTTGTTTTGATGACAGTTCCATGGTAAACAAATCTAAAAATAGAATATGATACGCCATTTTTTGATACCATCAAAATATTCTGCAAACACTAAAAATTTATTCTGTTGAAGCAGCATGTTGAGTGATCACGTCTCAGTGATCAAAGTAACCAAAGAAAGCAGATAGCTTCGTGAAACGTTCCTGTCCATGGAGTAACGTGCTTGTGAAATATTCGAGTTGGGTCTGTGGCCACCGAAAACAACCAGCAAAGATTGATTGGTCGCTGCTCTTGGAAATTGTCAGAACAACCGAATTGTACGTTTATCGATACTCGTTGAGAAGAAGCACATTTTACGTTTGTTAGGTGCTTGCCGCTGCTTCGAGACCGCCTAAGACTGAATTTCGGTGCCACCGATCGAAAGCGAAAATAACCAATTTCAATGACCATCGATGACAATCGATGTTATCGGTGGTCACCCGAGAAATTCGGTCCGTTCCTAGCTGCATTTGATTTCAGAATATCTAGAGACACATTTGTTTCTTAGTAAAATCGAAGTGCTGAATTAAAGCTGCTGAGATTTTGCTTCAGTTAGATATCTGCATTTTTCTCGCGCAGCAACTGACGACTTCTTTGATAATGTCAAACTAAAACTCTCAGTTCCTCGCAACAATTTTGATGTAGAGATGATTATATTAATGACTGGTGATGTTCGAGAAAGAAGATGTCGGAATTTTGGCGTAAAAATTCCGAATCCATTTTTGGAGGTTCCGAAATTCAGTACTGCGGCCGACTTTTTAAGTTACCCTTATTTGTCACATTATGTCGTCATGCACTCGTGCTAAAGCTATTGGGCTTTATCGGTCTGTCATCACATAAAAGGATAAATTCTTTCTAATCAATCTTTCATCGCATCAAAATCATTTTTGCGATCAAATCGATAATGACGATAAAAAGTGCAAGTTTCTAGTTTAAGTAATCTTTGAATCGTAAGATTTCTTTCCTTGTGATTAATTCAAATTATCGCGATCATCGCAAATATCAGATGATTTTTATCAAATCACTGAAATCAAAAATGTGTAAATTGTTGATTTCAGTGATTTGATAAAAATCATCTGATAAAAGCCTATGAAAATTAATTCATTGCCATCAAGATAACCTCAATTTTATGTTTTTCGATCCTTCAGATTTTAATTCGATTTCAGTTAGAACTTGAAGTAATGGAATATGTTTGAGGAAATATGGATGAACTCATTTTTTGGCAATCGTTGTTGCTGACAGATACTTTTCAGATGTGCCAGTGGTGTACTGAGTGGTTCACCGCCTTTACGGTTTCGATATCAGATCTCGTAATGATCACAAATTCGGAGAGTTTTGGAAGTGCACATTTGAACTTGATTTATTAGATGAGTTCGCGAGAAGGAAGCGGAACATTACGAGATTTGATGTGCGTTCAGCATATCACCGAAAAAGCATATCCATAGCAGTTAGCGCAAAAGTATCACGTATAGACTTCCGCTGAATCAGCGTAGAACAGTAAGCTTCGTCAATTCAAAGTTTGGATTTTGTGTCATCTCTTAACAATCAGAAATTACTTATGATACATCACAGATATAAAAGGACAGAAACAGTTCGTTCAACCGGCAATTCGATCATGAAACGTGCCATTACTGATAGTGATCTGTTAATGTTTTTCATTTCGAATAAATCATGAACAGCTACGTTTTCTATTCCGCGTTGTCTTTACAGAACAAAACCGATTAGATGAAAAGGTATGGCGAAACGATTAATTATGTCTGACTCGACGATTTATTACATGATAAAGAAATCAACTATGTTCATTTAAAAATCTACATTTTGGCGAGAAACGTTCTATAGAAATTCATTAAATCAATTTTGAATGTCACACGTTCTTATTTTTCGTTGAGCGATGACTGATGATTTGAATCCGAACCAAACGGATCCAACTTCGATCGGTTGCAAGCCGATCCTAAAATAAATTAACAATTCTTTTTTATGCGTTTTGATTCCATCTCAAAATTGGACTTGATCACTACACAAAAACTAAAACACTCTTACAATATTACTGGAACAAGTGAATGAATATGAAGTGAAGAGCTGCAATGTTTCTGTACGATTCATGAATTAGTCACTCACATGGACCGCGACCACTGATTAGCACTGATGTGTGAAGTGTGACTAAAGCGTTTGTGCCATGCAACTGTATATGAACCACCGAAACAGCTCAGTCAAAAACGCCATCGTATAATCGTTCAAATAGGAGTTTTTTTTTTATCTGAAAAAGCCACCTCATTATTGAAAATACATAATTTCTCATATCTGAGCCCGAGAATGTCAAAAAAGAAACTAAAGCTCCATCACAAAATGAACTTGTGGCAAGATGCATCAGCTGATGTGGAAACTTCTTCAAGTGAAACAACAGGTTACAAAATGCTGAAGTTGTTTTACAGTAGCATTCTTTTTTAGGCAAAATGATTCCTACATGAAGAATTGTTGATCATTGCAATGATAAACTACGATAGTACAGATCGTCTCTCCTGAATTATAAATTCAGATTAGCATCAGACATGACAGATTGAATGTATCACATAATACGTTCTAAATCTGTGAGGTCATCTATCACGAATCAACACTAAATACATAAAAAATAACCAATTGACTTTGAGGGGCCAAAAATAATTGAGTGCCGTCATTGTGTTGTTTGTAATCGAATGCGATCAATTTCTTTTTGATAACTGCAAAGATTGAAACATTAGAAAACACAAAAGTACCATGTCATTTCATTGACCTCAGTTCATACGAATCATTTTTCCGCATGACTTTTTCACTATAAAAGACCAGAAAACTGTCGTTCCACGAAGTAGTTGCTGAGCAAAAGACTTCAGAATCTATTGCTGTGTAGCAACAATCAGATTTTAGACGTTTGTTTGCTTGCTTATCGCATTTTATTAATGATTTCCAAACTGTTCGATGTTCGAATTAGTCAGCATCTGATGATATTTCTTTCAAAGTCTCTTTCAAATTGACGTTTCGGTGGTATTTGTTCAGAAATCCGTTATGTAGAATGTAATTGCACGGAAACGAAATCACACCTCAAAATCAAATTCTTGATTAAAGTAGCTAATGTTCTCTGAGCGATTTCAGCCACAAAAATGGTCATCTCATTGTTTCTTCTTGCCTGTGTGGTATCGCTTTCAAGAGTAAGCTACCAATTTCAGAGTGATTTTTTTCAATTTTTTCTTGATTCGTTCAATTTTTATGTCGTCTGTAAAACTGATTCATCCATTCGAAAACGATATATTCGTACAACAGTGATGAAGCTTTGTTTCAAATACCCAGTCACGGAATTTTCACTTCATTGAAAACCTGTGGTGATTGCATCTGATCAACGAATAATAGTATCAATCATTCATACAATCAGCTTTTCTCGTAGATATCCTTGTCATGAACATCAATGAAATTTGTAGTGAAGCGATCTGAAAGATTCTACTCACCAATCATCAGTTTGATTCTCGAACAAAACTCATTCCAATGAACACTGAATACGTTACCTTTCAAAATTCGCTGACAAATTCCACTTTGCAAATATCGTAAGCGTTTCGGTGATTCAAATGGTCAAGCCAAAAGTTCTGGCGGTGTGCTTCGAAGAATGACCGACATGAGATAACTAAGACCAAAGTATAGTTCATGAAAGCGGATGCATTCAAAACCGGAGAATGATTTATCTAGAACTAGTGTGTTTTAGAGTAATTTCATTGCTCACGATGGTGCTGTGAATGATTATGCGGAAGTGCGAAATATTCTCAATCAATACTATAAGATAACAGCACGAAAGTTTGGTTCATTCCACGATTACGTGAGTTTCACTTTTATTTGTCATGAATTGATTCTGAATGCCTAGTTTGCAAGAGCGTAATGAACGGATTTCAAGCTGCGATAAAATAAATGTCTAAAGATCAATCGAAGCGATGAACATTTTTGCGAATATACAACCGGTAAGTTTGTCGTTTCTCAAGCAGTATCATCAAATATTGTCAGTTGATTCAATATTCCATTGAGTCAAGCTGATAATCAAGTTTATTCGAAAAGAGATTCACATACGACATTCGTTTGCATCAAATCTCAGTTCATTGATTCAAAAAATGTTGCTTGAAGATTGTCTTGACAGTTCGTATGTAATTAAGGATCCAAAACACGTGAACGTAGCACTTCAAGGTACCTCTTTTGATGATGGAACAGAGGCATCAACTAATCGTAAAGAGGGTGTTGCTGGAGATTTGTTTGAGAACGACATCTTGTTGACGCTGCCACAAGCACAACAGCTGCTCAGAGAAGTCCGCAAAAGTAAAATGCTTGCTTCGATCTGTTTTTGAAAACACACTTCATTTGGCTGCTTTCATTAATCTGAGTGACCAATAAGAGAGAACAGAAGGGGAGAAACGAAAATTTCCCTCGTACCGTACTGGAATGACAGTGAATAATGACACATTGGAAATTATCGAATAGCTCCCAAATATTGCTGTCACTAAATTGACTAACAGTTTGCTGTTTGCACACAGGGGGTCCTCGCCAAGCGCAGGTTGGATTGCAGTGGTTTTGGCCAGCAGAACCCATTTCGTTCACTTTCGCAGTGTACGAGCGTAAGTTTGCAATTTCCATTTTCCGGCAGCATCACTTCCACTGAATACACCACTGAAATTTTAGTGCAATATCGCATCTGCGGTGAACTAATTTATGACGAAACTTCTTCTGTTCATCGAAAATAATTGTGATTAGTTCTTGTAATATGTCGACCGGAATCGTTCCCTAGTCCCTGAATAATTCTGGGATTCAGTAACATCAGAACTAAGTGTTACGAGCTCAACGCATTCTTTCTCAATCCCGTTACGTTTTCATAATTATTTGGAAAACGATTTATTCAACAAATCCAGCAGACCGTTTTTTAGCATTTTAGAATCTGGAAACAAGCGACAACATTAAAAGTCAAATTAAACAACTAAAGTTTGTGCATTAATGCCTTAAATTTTTCTATGAACAACAACAATGAAGCATGTTTAGGTGCTCACGTCTGAAGTAAAAAGAAGCCACACATACTCCTCGTCAAGATTTTCTTTTGGAAACATCAAATGTTTAAAACTCCTTAAAATAGTGAATGTGAATGAGCTGGAAATGATTGATCTATACTTCTAGATGAGTGTATTGTCAAGATCATATGAAATGCCTTGTCCTATCAAGTTCAGAAATTCCTGGATTTTTCAGAGCATGAATCTCGGGATCGGGATTCAAAACTGAGAATCTCTGGATCTCGAGATCCCATGCAGACACTAATTGTGATGATTATTTCTGAATTTGTTGTCCGAATCGATTCATGCTAAGATCATGCTTCGTTATTAATGTAACACCGTAAACTTCAGCGAAATGGCAGAATCTTATTCGAAGAGCGTTACGATATGTAGAAAGTGAAACTTGCATGCGTTTCCAGGTTCTTGCTTTCATTCGTGCGTATTTTTTGATACACTTATTCAATCAATAGTATTCGATCTGGTTTAAGGCAAAAAAACCTCGGCTAACGTTTTGCTAACCCTGAAAACTGTGAGCAGTTGCATTCCATTTCAGTGTCAATTCAGTTGCATTTCAGTGTCAATATAAAATTCATAATTCGTATCAACGTCAAATGAAGTTCTATCAAGTTATTAGGAACAATCCAGCTCGATTAGAAATAGCGTTTAAGCGATTGCATGAACTTAGGAGAACAGGAATTCGAGGGATTACATTCAATTCATACGTGGTGCAGGATGCTGGTCAAGTGTTGGACGAGTTGGCGGTCGGCAGCAGATTTCAATCGGTTATGGATGCGAGGCGGTATTACATTCATTTTTTACGTACAGTTTAAAAAATGTAATGAGATTCAAATCTCCAAATCCAAAATTCCTAATCTGCATTGCAAATTTTTGGAGAAATTTTTTATCGGATACAATGAGAAACGTTCATGGAACGAAAAGGTTCGTAAGACAAACAATTGGCCAGCTCGTAATTCATATGGATCCGAGTAATTTATTATTATGTCCCATTCAAATTTTTGAATGATATGAAACAGTTTGAGGGTATTGAAGTGTGCTTTATCGATTCTAAAGAAGGTTTTTTTTGCTGAAGAAATATTGTACAGTTTAATATTCACTGTAAAAAAAGTCGTCAGTATGTATGGATTGAAGATAGGCATAGTGGCACACGAAACATTACATGCACTCGGATTATGGCACGAGCAATCGAGGAGCGATCGTGATCAATACATTACTATCAATTATGCTAATATTTATCCGGTTAGTCTGATCCCCTTCTGCCAATAGCGTTCATCAATCGATTTCTATGGGCTGGCGACCGGAGTTTACGATATAAAGTTTAGTATGCACATATATGATAGCAGATTTCAAAGGGGAGAATATAGCAAGTACTACACTGGGTCTATAGCGAGCTTCTAAACGGTACAGACAATCTACATCGTTTAGAAGGCTCATTGTGATGTTTCGGCATCATTCATTGTCCAGAAACTGAACAAGTTTGGGTGGATTACACCTGAATTTCGGGAACACATCTTCTAATGCAGGGTTTCTCAAGCGGAGGTGCGAGATAAGACTTCATTTTTGATACAATAAAGTCTACAAGGACGGATTTTAACGCATAAATGTCTGTAAAGTAGGTGAGGATGGACTTTAACGGATAAAGTTTTGGAAGTGTTTATCTACACTATAGACACTCACTATAGTGAGTGGAAGAGAGATACAGAGTGGATGTTGTGAAGAGTGCGAAGATACTTTAACTGTTGTTGCACGAGCATATCTTAAAATTTTCTGGGCGGTGCGAGGGGAAAAGGTTGAGAAGCACTACTCTAAAGCATTTCCAAGTTTGAGTAAACATGCAGCATCAAAAACATTCCTCCTTCAAATGAGCATTCATTCGTATTATGATATGCTCATTTGAATTTCATGGCTTGCAAGGCAATTTCGAGAAGAGAAGCTCGTGGAATACGGACAATATGGGTGAGCCATACGATCTCGGTTCGGTGATGCATTATGGCTCGAAAGCGTTTGCTATCGATTATTCAAGGTACTTCATTATCAGATCTAATCTTGATAATTACGAAGAAACCAGCCAGCAGTATGCCTAGCATAGCGATGAGTAATACTTTTTTGATTTAGCGCAGTGTAGCATCTAGCATTACTAATGATTAACTGAATGGATAATTTGCAGAGATACCATTAGAACGATTGATCGAAATTTCCAACGGACAATCGGTCAGCGAGGTGGAATGTCGTTTAAGGACATCAAAATGATCAACAAGAGATATTGTCAATGTACACTGCATCATTTATTTGTACACAAACATTTTTCACATCGCAACTCACGTATGGCACATGAAACAGCAATGAATTAATTTGGTTCAGGATTTCCAACCGATTCACCTAGTCAAGTCCATATGAAATCGATGAAGAAACAAATAAGAAATCCAAATATTGAATGATATTCGCTTCAAATTATCGAAACGATCCAGAAGTCAGGAAATTGACGATCAGAATCAATTTTTCAGACGTGTGCAGCCCTTTACCATGTCAGAATGGCGGCTATACGAATCCAAACAAATGTAGTGAATGCAAATGTCCAAAAGGATACGGTGGAAGATACTGTGAAAGAATCGAGACAAGTGGTACAGTAATTTAAGAAATATTGCTCTTAAGAAGATGATGAGTTCGATCATGAATTCAGTATCTAAAGCAGATATTATTGTTCATTGCATCCAGTTGCACGATCATGATAAAAGCATGTAACGAATTTATTGTGTGTCAGGAAATTGTAATATATTTTAGTACCCTCGACCTGTGGTGGTGAGCTGATAGCTGATCGAACATTCAAACAAATCGCAAGTCCACCGATGAGCAGCAATATTCGTTGCATATGGAGAATCACGGTTAGACGTCTTCATTGTTACACGCATGCAGCGTTGTTATTTTTTTCTTCTTTGTGAGAACTTCATATTGAAATAGTATTAAAATCGCCACAATGCTGCCTGCATGTGATAAACTTCATCTGCCTGACTACATCCTTCCATGCAAATAGCTAAAAATTTCTTCTGTAAAATTATTGCAAGAGTCATTGAACTGATCGCAGCTGGTTTCGTTGCTTTCCAGTATGATCACTGAAGCGATCATGTCACTGTTAGTTAGATAACTTGTTAAAATCGCAAGTAGGTGAGCAGTGTTCGAATGGAAACAACTTAAAATTTCTAATTTGACTATCGAATTGCTGTGTTGCAGTCGCCTGCGCAAGTACTGGTTGTTGTGGATCATTTGAATCTGCCATGTGAAGAAACTTGTACGAATTATGTGGAACTGAAATATGCAAATGAGAAAACTTCTACAGGTCCGTTCTTGCGATATCTTTTTCATAAACGCGATAAGGCTTATGAAAGGACTTAATCCAACGATGTATGAGACATTATTCAACAATACTCTCTCTACTGAATCACATTAGTTCTTCAGTTGAGAAAACCAATTTGCTTCACAATTTCACATTATTCTGTTCATCGTGAATTGAATTACCAAAAACCTTTTGATCGTTTCCAGGTCCACGATTATGTTGTATGGCACCAACAGCGTCGTTTATTAGTGAAGGAAACGAGTTCATTGTTATCTTTAATACGGCTAATGTTGATACGCGCTATCAAGGCATGAAGATTCGCTATCAAGCATGTGCGTTACAGTATCGTCGCTTTCGTTNGCTTCGTTGACTTTTTTCTCAATCAAATAATATGATTCTTGTCATGAAAAACTGCTGAACCTGGTGAACCATTCGAGAGATCGAATGAAAATTAAGACCATGGAACTCGCTCAAAATATGGAACAGAATGCAATTGCATCATGAATCAGATGGAAAGTAATCCAGTTTTCAGATGGACGATTGCCTTCAACAAAAGTACCATACACTCAATCTGTAAGTATCTTCTGAGCTTTTGCCTATGTTTGAGAAATCATACGAACCACATTGATCGAAAATGAGTATGAGATCATTTACATGATCAAGTGTTGATTGCATCACTTCAATAAGACTTACTCCTATGCAGTGTGACACATCCGTCGTATAATCAGTTCTTTCACTTCCAGAGATTATGACTGAAAGAAGTTCAGGGGATATCGAAAGCTCGTCAGCTTTCGTCTTTATTAACCGAAAATTTTCACCGAGCTCACCCTTGTGAACACTGCTTATGGTTTCGTATCGCAGTATTCAAGAAAACTTTAAACCCTTATGAAATGCTTCGATTTTATGAGCAGAAAATCATTCGTTGACGTATTGATGACTTGAAATCAATTACATAAAATGATTCGTTGCATGTAAACGTTCGCGAATATCTTTCAGCCTACCAGAGAAGCGTCAACCGTTGTAACGACAACTTCTAGTTATGCAGGTGCCCACTGAAAATATCACTTGAAGAGATCTGAGCATTGAACATTTTAACATTCGTTTTTGGAAATTATAAGCAGTTTAGCGTGAATTCGAAGGAATTATGGACACTTTAGCATCCGTTCAAAGAAATTTTGAGCGAACTTTTAGTGATTCGCTTATGTGCATTGTATCGATAGGAGTGAAATCATTCACAGGAATGTATGGCTTTTAAAGGACGCACTATGAATAAGAAAAGTCAAAAACATGTGAATATTTGCAATGTTTCCGAGTTTCTATCNGGCTGTTATCCAGTTGATAGAAAATGCGAGTAAGTCATTGTATTAGAAACATTCATGCCGAAGTTTCAACCTCAATCTCAGAGAATTCACTCTTCAAGCGTTCAGTCACTGAACCATTGGCATTCCTCCTTGCTTTCTCAATTTTCTATGATATTCGTTGATGATGATTGATGATTGCTCCATATAAATTTGCAACGTCATAAAATTCATTTCAACAGGGGTCCGTGGTATGAGGATCAACCATGTGGTCTCACGCCTTGTCCAGATCCAATTGATGGAACCTATTGCGAAGGAAAAATAGTGTTACCTTGTGACCTTATGGATAGGCTCAAATTTGGAGCAGCAAAATACAGTTCAGCGGTTTTCAATACACGTAAGGCAGCCAGTTCCTTAAGCTCAGAGCGATTAGTCATATGTAAATCTTCACGAAAACACTGGTTATTGAATGAGTTCAGACTGGCATTGCAAGAATCCCATTACAATTTGCTTGCGCTACTTCTCCACCTTCAAAAATCATGAATATGATGAAAATGTTTTGCTCTCGAATTTTAAGTACGATATTGCAATTCTACAATTGTATCAGAAAAAATAATGGATCATGAGTTTCATCCAGCAAAGTCGAAAGACGTTATAGAGGAAGCATATTATCATGTGAGTATAGAAGTAGCTTTCGATTCTAGAAAAATTCAGAATTGCTACGAAGCTGACAGCAATCGCTTAGGAACATAAATTTACAAATGGAAGCATTTTAACTTTAGTTGCTCGTAAACTTCTTCCATGTAGCCGATTCGTATCAAATTTCAGCATCTCTAGATTCCAGTGCGAAGAATGACGTATTTAAACGGACCTATGAGAACAAGCAATTGAAAGATTTTTCCGGGACGAAACAATCTGCTAACTCAACGTATCTGTGTGAAAAGTTTGTTGTTCGATTGTCTCTTAAAAATGCAATATTTTGACCCAAAATATTCCATTCGGATATATCGACTAATACCACAAAACATCTCACTCACAGAGGCCATCTAACAAAAAGCTCCGAGATAGGCATCATCAAGACACATCAATTCAGCGTTTTTCTATAGATGCTGATCATGTGGTAATGCAGTTATGCTGAATGCCAGCAGCAATTCGGAACTTGTTTTGTTGAATTCTCACCTTTTCTTTCATCCATTCTAGTCAACATAGAGAAATGTAACTTCTATTGCACATATACAGTTATCAGTCTGAACTTGTCAGTTTCATTCATTCAGAGGCTAATTCTTTTCGATGGTTCTGGACAGCTCTCGACCAACAGTCAAGATTGTAACTGTGTTCATCTGGCTTATTTCAGACGTTTCTGGTACTCTTGTCCGACGTCGATGCTCACGATAAATATTGCTTGGTTGCGCCCTGGGGAGGTGAATCATAATATAAGAGGATGTTGCAGTGGGTATTATGTCAGTGAGGGCATCTGCAAGAAAACCAACTGAATAATTGTGTTTCTGATGACTAATTTATTTATTTATTCGCACTTTGCATTCCTTCTCATGCTTCGCCTTTGTTACAATTCTCGTTTTTTCGTATTCCTCAATCAGCAATAAAAAAACTATCGGTGTTTCACTGTTGGTAATTGATGTTGCAAGCGTCAAATATGAGAATCTGAACTCAGCTGAGGCTTATTCATTTGATCGATAATTACAAATCACTATTAATGGTCACTAGTGAATCTACAATATTTTATTCTTTGGTGTGCATAATTCCACACTCTTCTTCTTTTTATTCAGGCTTTGCCCTGGAGGATTTTTTCGCTTTCCATGTATGAAATCTTGACCAACTGGACGTGTAATTTCCTCTCATTGCACTCCACACATTTGCCTTCACAATATCATTTCAGGTGTCATGTCCTTTCTGATATTACCCGTTTCCCTCTCATTTACTTGAATAGAAGCTTGCGCTAAAGGATGTTCTTCTTTTCGCACTGTCGAGATTCGATTCAAAAGCACTAGACTGTGACTGATTCGAGCAACGAAAACAGGAGAGTGTGAAGACAGTGAAAGGTGTTATGCCGGCACGCTCTTTACATGGTTTCCTCTTTGAATTTAATAATTAGTTTTTTTCTGCTTTGAGATGTATGGCATTGATCTCTCCAACGCTGCGGTAATACTTCAAATTCCGTGTTATGAAAATTCGTTGAAAGCCATCAACAAATTGGCAAAAAGCAAGTCAATGTAAGATCAATGGGAAAATGCAACACGGATAAACAATTCATACAAAAATATTCCATCAACAATACATCACAAAATATCACAATGAAAATCGGTGCTGTTGGAAATTGCTCACGAGCACTATGAATTGTAATTTGCGTGATTTACCTCTTCTGAAACAGGTTAATTCGATTAGAAGTCAGGCATAACAGGGTTCATTATTTTAAAACAATGGAACACAAATCTATCATGAAATCACGGTGTGCATTTCATTTCGGAATATTTCCAGAATTGGGGTCAAAAATGTCGCGATGGATTACATCGGAAATGATTCGTGACGATGAAGTTGATGAGGACGGTGAGCACGGCGTGTTCGATAGCTGCGTATGTGTTCGCATGTGCGTATGTAAATTTGAAGCTCTGTTGAAAGCTTTCTCACACAATGAGCAAACGTATGGCTTGACCTGAAATTGAAACGTCAATCGGTGTCTTTCGATCAGTCAGTTATCGTTGGAGCCGTTGCTATACAATCGCTGTAAACTTTCACATAATGATCTGTCAACGAATTTCATGCAGAGGTTGAACTTCAATACTCAAGTCCAGCGAAAAGCTTTCGTGGTTATTTCCTTCAGCTGTGATATCATCCAAATTCATGTGAATCGGCGATGCGTTTCAGTTTGGAGATCAACTCGCGAATGATTACTTATATTCATGATGTGAAATTGTGAGATGGTATCTATAATAGAAGATTTCATGCATTTCAGATACTGAATCATGCATTTCATTTTCGAGTAATGCAATCGAACTACTTCTCCNTGCAGACATTAAAAAGCTGAATGCTCAGAAGAATAACCGTCGTGTGCGTGAATCGATGTCTTGTCAAATTACCCGGCTGCCTGAATGCTCTTCCGCAGTGATCACATTGAAATGGTTTCTCACCTGTATGAATTCTCTGCAAATTCGTCTGGTATACCCCGAAACATTCACCAAATATATGATAGTAATGTTCTGTCTGTTCATCACAGTGAATAAAAATTGATTACCGATATAATAATGAAGCTATATTATATTGCGTTGATTCCACTCTATTAACAAGTTAAGATCAAACTTGAAAAGCATTATCATCTTTTGACCTCAGTCACTCTCGAAAAGAAATATGCACGTCTAGGTGTGATACATACTGTCTTCCGAGACAACATAATGGTCTCCTCTCACTTTGCATTACGATAAATCTCAATGTATAGGCATTAATTTGCTTCTGTAATGCGAATCTGATTCTAATTCCGTGATTCTAAATAAAGGTTCAATTTCACCAAATGTGGTTCCTTAACATGCACGAAAATGTACTGATGGAGCTCAAATATTTTATGGCAACATTCTTTATTAGAAGTAACAATACTTCTGAGTGACTTTTTATCTGAAACAATACGCACTTCAAACAGATATTGTCGAATTAGATCATTGAATTATTGTTCTAATTTCAGTGCGTGGCAATAAAAGTGTATTCTGCATAAACAGAAGAACGTATGAATAAACTGTTGTAACTGCAGCAGCAATGAATGATATTTATTGAGAAAAAGTGTCAAGAAATGATCACTGGATGCATTTCGGATGGACTGAATTGATTTCAATGAGAGGAGCATTAAGCAATGCGAAACGCATTTGTACCTTGATCCATACATAATGTATGTACTACGCATCAACAATAACCGTCATTTGCAGTTTTCCCATCTCGTCTTTTGTTTCTAGAGTGAACGAATAAAAGAACGCGTTATCCATAATACCAAGAATGCGCATTCGAATGCCACTCAATAATGCTCATTCTATACATGCATCGCACGACACTAACTAATATTTCATGTGCGCTTCCACTGATACACCGTACTCTCTATTGTTCCACAAATGCTAATTGCACTACAACTAAAGCACACAACATAATACTCTATTAAGCGACACCTCCTATTCTTCAGTCCTGCTCTAACCTTTTGCAATACAACAATATTCATTCGCGCATCATGAATTTGTTGACGAGCTCAATCAGCTAACCACATAATTGCTTTTGAGACTGGCTACTTATGTGACATTTGAAGTCAATTTTGCGAACATGTAGATAAATCGAGATTTGGTGGCATCCAAAATTGATCACATGGACTGTATCTACTCTGTTCATGTAACAACCGAAAAACTTTCTGGTTCTTTGATAGCATTAAAGTGTAAGCTATACTGAGCACAAAATTTCTATCAAATGAGTCAAATCATCCCTAACCAATGTGAGCATCAATCGATCCAAAATGTTGCTATTGTTCTACCACTTATCGAATTACAAAGCAAGACAATTTGTCAGAAAATATTGAATGGATCAATCTTCATGAATATATGACCATAACGAATTGTTGNACCTTATGGGTTATAAGTGTGTTACTCCTGCTGAACGTTTTCTCGCAGATATCGCAGCGATATTTCTTTATTTGCGCTGCTGATGCCGTTGAGGATGTTGCAGATGATTCAGCGTTATCGATACGTGAACGTTGCATACGACCATCTGAAAATCCTCAGCTCAATGATGCATCCATTGAAACTACCTGCGTTACTTTGCATGCTGCATTATACGGAACCATCAAAATTCTGTTATTTTCACAGAAATTCATTACGACTTTACTTTCTCCTATCTTCCCCATTTCTTTCACGGCTGTGACCACCAGTAATTTTGGGAGCCATTCTTTGACATATAGTTCTTCGGCATAAAATAATCTTGCTGAGATTTGTTGGCAGAAAATAATATTATCACAATCAAAGTTCATTGAAAGCATAGTTGTAGAGCTCGTTGATGGGTGAAAATGAATACATCTCTGAAGTACTCGTTGGAATGGTTGCAAAATAGAGATTACTTTGAATGGAATCATCGCTATGAAATTTGCTAAATGAAAACGACAACTTCAAAGTGCAAAAGAGCAATACCATGCAAATGAGGTACTGTATGGTTGATATAAGGTGATGCTGCAATAGCTCGTTGTAGGGATTCGGCGTTCGACAGAGCCGATGACCATTGTAAAGCAGCGTTTTGGATCATTTGATACTTATTCAAATAACGGGACAACATATTCAGATTGTAGGATGCTATTTGCTGCAATTATTTCGATTCTTTATAAGAACCATTCTTGACAAGCACAGTTACTCTTCAGTGTCTGTTCACTGAACTACCTTATCAGGAGCACGTTTGTTAATTTGCTTTTTGTTAATTTGTTATGTTATTTTTCGCAATGTTAATTTGTCATGCGCATTTATTTGGAATGTTGTGAAACATTTCAGTCCTGAGTGATGTTCATTCGGATACATCACAAACTATAATTCATTCGTTCTTCAAAATGTGTGTGCAGTAAGAGTTAGAACGGACATCACTAGAATGCTCGGACAGCACATTTATCTTACAAAATAAATGTCAGTGGTAAAAAGACAAACAAATTAAAAGCTCATAATTTATCTTACAATAAACCGTAAGCATCAATAGACTTTCTGTAAGAAAAATCACAATGATAAGGCAATGATTTGAAATAAAAATGACGACAATCTTGGGCTTAATAAGTTGAAGGATTGAAAATATTTTGAAATGTGACAGAAATATCTCCTCACTAGAGAAGACATAGTGAACGTAACAGCACACACGAAAGAAACTGTTTGATTGAGAGAAAGTATCAGACCATTGATCAATGACTGAGCCTCTTTCCCAGCTTACATTAGTAACTTTGATTTTTAATGGCAACTGATTGTGATCGTAATGACATTTGATGTAGTCTTGCAGAGGAATTGCTTACGAAATGCGCATTTATAAGCTGATTGAATAAGTGAGTGAAGAACGTATGAGAAAAGATGAACCTGAGCTTGTTCGTTGTGAACGTAACGAGATGGTAATCGCTGACAGTTACTGGTAAAATTAGCGAACAATCGCTGTAAATGTGGCTGAATGGTGATCGGTCGATTCTCCAGTCGTTCATTCTCCACTTCAACATTTAAACCCTTCGAAAGTCCTTTTTCGAATTTACCATTTTGGATTCGTGAATTCGAACACTGTTCCTTAGTTGCGTTGTTTATCTCTTCATCCTTTCTGAAAATGTCAACAGATGCACAAAAATGCTTCTTTATTTTTTGATTTTTTACTTTCATTCCCGTGAGGGGCCATTAGCATCCATTAACATTCTTTACGTTGAGGATGATTTTTCATTGACATGAGGGGCCAAATTGGCATGAATGCGTTCGAAGCCCATTGATTGTTTGAGTACGCACTCGTTTGGTTTGTAACAGAAACGAAGCAAAATATGCGACTGATAACGTTCCCGTGACATTTTCATATCAGCTCTGTGTGAGATTATCTGTATCACCTTACTCAGCTCCTTCGCATTCTTTTATCAGTTCATTTTACAATAATTTGTACAAATGAAACCTGAAATTTACATGAAACGCATGCCAAAATTTGTTTTTTAAAAGAACTGAGGCACAAACTTACATTGGCTGAATCAAATCGATTGATTTCGAACACGTTGTTTCGTCGAATTTCTCATGTTGTTCCAGCAACGAGTCAATCAGAAAGGATCCACGTGGTTGCGTTGAAGTCATCGCTTACGCTGCAAAATATCGTTTGATCATGGGCTCGTGAATATTTTACCAAAGAACACGTAGTTTAGTCGAATTTCTCAAAATTTTGGTTTGATTTTGAGTCATTTCAGCACCTTCAAACTTTATTTTGCAATAACCGATCCATATTGCGAGATGAACATCTGTCAGTGCCGATTGCGAATGAATGCATGCGTAAATAAGCTAATGATTAGACCTATAATCATTTCAAATCGATAAGCCAGAATTTTGAAAAATTACGATGATGTTTTGTGCAACTTCTCATGAGAGCTGTGGAGTTTTATGTGAGCAATTTTATGAATTCAACTTGATAAGATTGCTGATTCTTCGGTAGTAGTAAATTTGATGGAGAGAACATTTGAACAAAATGAGGCTGCGAAAGTTACATTCACAAAGTGCTGAATTATAAGGCAAGGGAATGTAGATTTAGTTTATCCGGAATAGCTTATGATTTGAATGACCTTCTTCTCAAAATCGTGCTTCCTGCTTCAGGTCGCCTTTCCGAAAAATTTCATGAAAAAACCATCGACTCGTTCGACAGAGATTTGATCGCTTCAGTTTGTCATTTGCTATCAACTTGGCAATATGAACAAAAAAAAAGAGTCTTTGCGGTGAACAGAAAGAAATAGGAACAAATTTTACCATAATTGTTTTGAAAGGATCGAAATACTTATTTTAATATTTGATCAATTGATCTGATTCGGTTCTTTTCATTAAAGAGCGTTTTCATGCTTAGAATTTGTTGGGCCACCGAACCTTCAGGAAGACTTGTTTCTAATCAGAGGTCAGTTGAATCGTTCTCATACCGTAACCGTTCTCACATAATAATAAATTCGTTTAAAGTCTTACGCTAATTGAAGGGTGAATAGTGAACTTACTGACACTTCTTGGAGACTAACTTAAGCTTGATTGTAAGGAAACTATCAAGAAAGCTTTAGCACTCGCTTATGGTAATGAAGGTCTCTACTTCAGCTCTTCATTATCCTTTCACAATACAGTATCGTTGATATGAATCAATGCGCAGACATTGAAACGCAATGGAGTATCAAGCAGTGACATTGAAATAAAGACTGAGCCTCTCAATTATGACTTATAAAATGGAATAAAAACTAAGACATGATGAGCCTTCATTGAGATGATGAGCATCCGTTGCTATACGGTAGATTCGAAGCAAGGAAGGCATGAGTGAATGGCTGAGTGATATGTAAGCGACGAGGCGCACTGATTTTCTCGTATCAACATCAACATTGGAGGAAGGGCGGTTCGAGAGTGCTGCTGAAATAAGTAGTTGCTTACATAGAGGAGATGCTAGTGGAGCAGTGAGAGATGCTAGAAGGAGAAGGATAGATACATAAACGAACGAGATGAGTTGTCGGATGGATGAACGAGCACCGTAATGATTGGTATCCGTTTTATATTTCGCTTGTGTTTTATATATCTTACAATTCATCCAATGATGATGATGGTACGGTAAAAGACGTATTAATGCATTATGTATGATGCACCTTGATATCACTTGATGTTTTAGTGAAGTTGTAAGGTGATATGTTTATTGAGGTTGTATACATGCATGTAGCAGTGTGGATTTGATCCTTCATGAATATTGAATGTACTCAAGAGGATTTAAAGGCTCATCTATGATTACAACAACTCAGATGTACACGATCGTTTGTTCAATCAAAATCTCGGATGTTTATTTGACTCCGATGAAGTAATAGTTCGTTTCAATTTACCGCTGAGGATGATCTGAGGCCTACGTACATAAAGACTGCATATATGGGATATATAGGTGTGCTTATGTCCATCGTATTAACCATCTCGTTTGCACTTACTTAAAAGGATATCATTTTCACACTATGTTCCTACTTCCACCTTGAGCATTGCCTCTCACGATTAGAGTCGTTGACTTATTTGAACAATACCAACAATGCTCTACCACTGAGGAGTAGCAACTTCTGAAATGTTTCTGAATGAATACATTTTATGTTATTAACTTTTCTACTACAGACTGTTCTCACAGATGGAACTAACAACTAATCTAACTGATGGATATAAACTGGTAAATTCTTTTATAGGGATACAAACTGATTTCGAAAAAAAGTCTGCACTCTTAAAAATGGTTGCCGATCTGATAATTCTAACGTTCGATTTTAAACTACTTCAATTGTTTTTTCAGAGAATTGGATTTGAAAACTACTGACCCTCTAGTGAGTGTTACATCGCTACAACAACACTGAGCTAGCAAAGTCATGAAAATTTCAAAGAATGCTCACAATTTGATATTGATTTATTTGTTGATGAGAAATGCGTACGTATTGAGTAGGATATGTGAGCATCATCAATAGTAGGTACATCTCGGAGTAATTGACTTATAATTTCGTCAGGCAATAAAATCTGCCATCACTGTGAGCAATAGCATTATGGCACATACACACATACCATACATCCAGAGCCATAATCTGCTCATCAGTATTGTATAATATTCATTGTTGTTCTTGGACTATATTGTTAAGGTTGATCGTAATTGTAGTGGCGATAATGAATGAGTGGTCGCTTAGATTGAGGACATGAATTCAAGTAGAGTTATTCAATTAATGAAGAGTATCACCAATTGCTACTTATGATCGCACAACTGAACACTCGAATTCACTTGATCGTTTCAAATGGACATACATCTGTGGTTGTATTATATGAATGCAGCATATTCTCATGTATCTATTAAGTAACTGTTAGGTATTCAATAAGATGGCATGGCAAGAGGGAATGTGGCCACATCATAACAGACATTGATTTTTGATGCAGCAATAAAATATTATGGACAACGAGTCTGGTTGATAAGGATGCTCGAAATGTTGAAAGATAACCCAGTGAAATGCATGTTTATAGTCGTGCTAAACGAGTTTTTTCTATTGAACGAATTTGACGAGAAATTCGTTTTTTTATGGAACAAATGCAGTATATTCAATTATATCTCATTCAGTTGGTTGTTTTTTTTACATTGACTATGTTGCTAAAAGCTATTTTTACATTGACAGCGTTACNTTTTTTCACCTGCTTTCTAATTGATAATCATAAAGAGTGCAATGATTTGGAGTTACAATCGGTGAAGGTTTGAAATGAATTAGTTGAATGGCCAGACTCAGGGTGTTCACAGTTCAATCAGATGATCAGTGAGATGATATACATCCAGTGAAGATTGTGGAACGAATACGGTAGACGATAGATAATCAGATATCCCTTTATAGGTGTACATATGTGACCTGAACGTTGATTTGCCCTCTAAAACAACATTGCATAACATATATAAGTATACCATTTACGCAATAATCTTCTGCTAATTAAGTGGTCGATCCATCTCGTCGCAATTAGTCAATGATCCTATCCCCTTGAAAGAACACCTCATTTATAGTGTCACATTTTATTGCCTATTAAACTGCTTTCACTTAAATAAATTTAATTGAAATCGTCACAATTTTCAAATGAAAAGATCCTCGACATATTACTTTCCCATTTTGGTTAGTTCTTTGCAGACATTAAAAACAATGAGAGATAGTTAGACGTCAGCTGATGTGTCAAGAACATCAATCAGGATGACTTCAAGTTATGTCGCGGTCGTTTCGAATTGTCTCGATGATCAGATTCGTTCTAGAATGCTTTTCAGTGCAACGATAGCGATGCTCTATGGAGAACAGAGTAATTGATATTCAATGTCATCACACGCTATAATTAGGTATCTGTCTGAATCCAATTACATCTCAATTCAGCCCAATCTATCTAATCCGCAATAAACAAGTGCCTGTTGCGTAACTGCTCTGGAACTCTACTTTGAGCAATTCGATAGAGTTATGACATAAAACGAATCGCAGTTTTGCTCGTTAGTTCTTGGCGATAGAAAGTGAACGATGAAAGCATTACATTCAATCAGGACAACATTGTAAAGGAGATCACTGATTCCGGAGTGTAGTTCATTAAACAATGTGCACAAGATAAACGAGCATTTGTCTCGTATGTTCGCTGCTCACCTAAAGAAATAATGCTTTCTTATTGTTTCATTCGCGTAAGTTTAAACAGCACATGCGATGTGCAGTGCAGCAAGCATTTCCAAAATTNGCATAATAAGTTGCGCTAAGAAATGGTAATTTAGTAGCGGACTACTATCATAATCAAATCAGTCTTCAGCAATTTATAGCTATGACACAAGAGATAACAAATGAGCAATATCCAAAGCTTGAAAATATCTCTCACTTCAAGCTAACACAGTTGATACTAAAGCATTGAGTGACAAAGAAATGTTATAACGGAACTGGATGGTGTTTGAACGGTAGTAGCAGAGAGCAAAGATGGCTGATGAGAAAGTGGCAATGATGAGTAATTAGTGGAACACCTGTAGGCAATTTCATGCATGAATGGTATGATATCAGTGAGGTGGTAGCACTCATTATGGCAGGGATCGTGTGATGAGGATGGATAATGTATGATGCAATGCAACCACTAGCGTGTTCAGAATATTCAAATTAGATATCTATCGTGCATCATCTTGATAGTTGTCGTTATTATACGAATAAATAAATAAATAAATAATCTTGGCATACTTAAAGAATGGGAATTTCCGCGAGATTTATTAAGAGAATATGGGTCGAATGAGTGAGTTGCTGTATTATGGATTAACGTTATTGTTGGTGATGGGAGATTAACGTCAATTGAACGGATGCGCTGAAGTTGTGTTAATTAAAATTTCATTCGATAATTAAGGATAAGCTCAATTCATTGACTACGCAACTCAATGCACTCCTAATGAGCCAACTAAGCACACACAATCGTGCTTTAATTTGTTCACTTCATTATTTGCGTCTGAACGTCAAAATTAGCAATATTTTAAATTGCAAGTTATACTGCTCGTTAAATATCATGACTCAATCAGTTTCTACTCACCTTTAACATCCTCATATGATCTATACATAAACTGACGAGTGAATTTTATTCATTCATTATAAGCGAATGCTTACAAAATAGTCATTGTTCGTTTTAATAATGCCCCTCTTTAAAAAACGAATGAAATTTGGAGTGTTTGAATGCAGCATCAATGAATCACTTTGGTGGTGAAAATTTCGTCAACTGTCGCAACAATATAAATGACGCTTATTCAGCATTTTTAAGAATTTGNACCATAACGGTTCCATTCTTCGGACTTAGGGTAGCGTTACACTTAATCATTGATAATCGTCAGCAGAAATTATTATTTTCGTAATTTCAGGAGAAAAATCTTTTTTATAAAATTTTAAGCAACAGAGCAAAATTTACATTTGCTCAACTTGATCTAATTTGCAAAAAAGAGAGGTTGATTGGAGTTTGAGTACGCGACAAACATAAGTTAACATGATTTGGCATGAGAAACAGTTTCGTATCGGACAGGATCTAATCATTATGAAGACACCATGAATATAATAAATATCGTTCAATACGAATTGAAAGAGATGAGTATGTATACGGTAATATTGGTATTGAATAGCGATTGATAGAACAGCAGCACCAACAGCTAATTTAAAGGATTGGAATAGCGAGAGGACATAAGTCAAAAGGCATCATTCACTCCTCACTCATCCTTCCACGACAACGATTAATATTTTACTATTCAATCGTCTTTGCCATCACGAGAAACGCAAATTGAAAGCAGCATCGTTTGCACGCACATCCATTTCTTAATCATTTTCATGCTCGATTCCACCTTTATAAATGATCAAATATGCGCATACCATATTCAGCAGGAACATATATCACATCAAATACACTCAACATAAATTACATCATCGCAATTCATTCGCTACTCTTTCACAAATGTCATTTCTTACTGAGCAGTATTTAAATGAACATCATATTCGCATTCAGTGCGTCTTTATGTTTTTACCATCGCTTATANTACTCAAGTGTGTTACTTGCATAAACGAGCATAAGTTGAGAGTGTTTAGAAAGGTTTGCCTAAATATCACAATCCAAGACTCATCAAGTGAACATCGTTATTAGGTCCAACTTTTTTTTCCAGCATTTTTTCCGGAAGCTTCATTTTAGTCAAGTCGAATGGTTCCTTTATCTTGCACATGGCTTATTCGTGGGTACTGATGTTCCTGTTCCAGTCAGACTGTTTGGTTTCTGCTCCATTTTAATGCATAAAACAGAACAGTTCCGAAAAAAGGACACTAAGTACACAACGGAGCAGACCAACATAGAACAGTTTGTCAAAAGTGTGAAACAGAAGCACTATTAATCTACAGCGATAAGCCATTTCTCGGTGACGTTATTTCTCATGCTGATGAATCTGACAGCGGCACGATATATCATTTTCAGGAACTTAAAGTCTTTTGCCTTCAGACGGATACGAAGAAAATTTTCCCTGAACATGACCTATTATTGACCGCATTATGATCATCACTATTCACTGGTGTATCAGTCATCACCCATAATGTAATGATTTGGTTGATATTCAGGATAAAACTGAATTCATGTTTCCATTGAAAGTACTCAAACAATTAAGCACGATTAATCCCTACACATTTAAGAGCGTCATATTTAGACCATCATCGCGCTCAGCTATCCCAAACAAAGTTACTACTGTGGATAATTTTGTGCCAGATCATGAGTTCAGCTTTCATCGAGAATTACGGTTGAGTTGATGGCCACCGATGTTACATCCGACCGGTGGCGGTTGATGAAAAACTNTATCTAAGAATCCACTACCATCAGTGATTGAGGCAATGTAGAGTGCCTTAGCAGACAAGCAATATCTTGCGAATGAAAAGAATCCTCACCTGCCAAAGATTTGACTTGTGTGATGCGATTAAAGAAAGAACTGGTTGCAAATATGTGAGAATGCAGTGAAATTGGAATCTGCAATTCTCTGATGCAAGTTATCACAGATGCGAACTTACTGATGTGTCTATAGATAATAGAGAGCACTTTATGATGAAAGAATTCGTTTCGACAGTCACAAATCTGAGCGTCTCTGCTCTGATAGGTCGGAGTCATAGCCCAGAACGCAATTTGTAAGGAGTATGGTGCTTCCTTGGGCAAGATATTCACACCACTCATCTTGCACATGTCTTTCTGGAATTAATGATAAATTCAGCGTTCAGAAACTGAGTTTGCTCAGACACCGAACAGCTCATTTTAATTATCACCGCAGTCTCCTGATTCTCGTTCCAATCAAGCATCCAACTTTACTATTGAAGAACACAACCGTTTTATTCGTTGTGATGGATGTTGCATGAAAAGCATCGCAGTTCATGATACCACGCTGGAGATCAAGTGGAATTTGGTTACAAACGTTATCAATCCTTCAAAAGTTTCCCGTTAATGCCTATCCTGTTAGCAAAAAAATGACAGCAGTCGTAAATTCAGAATTTTAGGAGTCAAGTCGGCCCATGGCAAAGATAATAATGGTATTGAAGGGAATTGTAATCCTATCGAATCCAGCAATAAGTACCCTAGCATGCAAGGATTTCAATTGAAGTTGTGAGACTTTTTCATATTGTCCCCAATGGCGCCACAATTGTGTGAGCAAATTTCCTGGGAGGATTTTTGAGGAATTCCTCAATCTCTCATTTGATAGTGTTAATGATTCACTGACTGTTATGGGACTGCAGTGCAATCACACGCTGTATTCCCGGCGGTCAACAGTTGTTCTGATTTCAACTTCACAACGCTTCGAAAAACCAGGATCCGAACTTGAGATGACGTGACTTCAGCAAATTCTCAGAAAAATAAGGAGATATATCCCTATCGGAAACAATTCGATTGGTCGTCACTCTGCGCTTCTAAAAAGATGCATTCTATCAAAATTTGCATGGTCCCATTCGTAGACATTACGAATGACTTTTCAAATCCAACTGGACCACCATCGGCATAAATCAAATTTGGATGATGGTTTCCATGAGAATGATAACTGAGAACATCAACTGATCCATTATTCGACACGAACTAAATGCTACGTTGCACTCAAAATTTCCATTAAGTAAACCATTAACAGTGAGAGCCTGATAAGTGGAATAATTGCTTAAAGTGTCTAGCAACAATGAATCACCTGATGTTCTCAATTACCATTCACATGGAAACCATGATCCACGGAAAACCAATGTCGACTGCAGTTTGTCAGTGAACCAGTCATAAACTTTACGATGCTGTCGAAGCGGTTGGTTACGAAATTTCTTCTGCTCAGCACGGTATTTTTTTGTAACATCTGAAGATTCTGAGAGCTATCGAAATTGCGATTGGTAAACGGGCAATCGGAAAGGGGCAATTATTTGGTCATTTTCATTCATAAAAGGTTTCTGATGAGAAATTAGTTGGATCGTACTTAAGGGAAAATAGATTTTGTTGTTTGCTTTGATTCATGATAGGTTGAACAGTCACACTCTTCAGATTCTTTTCCCTGCTGATCACTTCGAAACGAGCACCAACGATGTTTATTTCGTGCACTTTCACTATGTTTCCGTACATCTACCAGAGAGTAAAATACCACCCGTGAAGGTCTCTTCGGTGAGTAAATGTGCGGAAGAGTGCTTCAATAAAGGGTGTAGTGCATTCGTGTATGGTCAAGATCAGCGGTGCATTTTGTATTTGGTCATCGAATACAACGGTTCAATTGTGCCAAGCATCTACATCAGAAACGTTAAGCAGATTCCAGTTCCTGATCATTGTCCTACTGAAAGCTTTGCTGAGAAGGTGATTAAAGATTTAGGTGAGTTCTTCTGCTCTTTCCACTTAAGTCATTCGAACTGGCTAATTGTAAGATGCTCCGTTCAGTCGCACAAGTTTAGACTGAAATTACAATTCGAAACAATCAAAATGCCGAAAGGCAGTTGGATGTGTAATCCGTGCTATCAGTTTTGAGTTCACTTTCAGGATTGGAACCCTGTCCGGCCGTAGGGACTCCGGCTCCAGTAACGTACTGTAGGTCAAACGCCAAATGTTATTTCATGGTAACTTTTCTAGGCATGGTTTCTGTTCAGCGACCATCAAACCATCAATTTACTTCTAAGTATCGCTTCAGTTAGNGACCATTAAACTAGCAGTTTAGCGTTAACTTAACAAATCTAAAGGTTCTATATAATTCGTAACGTGCAGAAATTTTTCCTCTTCATGCAACCACGTTGTCTTTATCTTCCATCGAAATACTTGCGCTTACCTGTATTTTGATAATGTGCTCCTGTACGCGCACTTCTCACATGTAAATAAAACTTTTGCGCACATTCTTCTTCCCAAATGTTTGCTTCAGCAGTCATTTCTAATTGCTAGTTTTCAGTTATAAACGAGATTCTAACTCTCAGTTTTATGTGGTAATCAATGCATCTTCAACTTTTTCAGTATGAAGGTTACACATTTTGGGATATGGTAAAGACCTGTGAATCCGTCATCAAGAAGAATCCGCATATGCCATTCACTGCAATATATCTTCCAACACAGGAATCCGCTGAAAACTTACTTGGTGTGTGCCTCTTTATCTCTTTTGAATGACCGACTGCTGAAGTCCATTCAGGTCGTCACAGTTACACGTACTGTGCCGTTCATTGACAATGTTATGAACAGTGTTTATTGATACTTTTATTTGCCTCTCAGGAATGCAACTGCAAGTATACCTTGACTCACGACGGTAATTGGTTCGACATGAGTCGGACAATGACATATTGCGAACAGGACCCTCGTAAAGCAGCATTAAGCATTTTAGGCATCTTGTTGTAATGTATGCACACCACTGGGTACTATGTTGTTGGTTATACATGAACAAGTGAGCAGATGTGCAGAATTCATCTGAATTCAAAATTTTCCGATTACGCATGAAATTATTCTGCTTTGTTATAGAACAATTTTAGCAGAATATAGAACAGTCTGGTTCGGTAAAGAATAATCGCTCAATCGATCGCTTGAGAAGTTGAACGATATTTTTACATGTTTCATCCAACTTTGGACATTATTGTGACGAGTAAATCGTTGTTGGGCTGAGTTATACGAAAAAAATTTTTTNCGTGATTGCCGTAAATCGGAATGATGTGAGCCGACGTATACTTGTAGAACCATCCGATAACGTAGCTCGATGAGAGGTGTATTACGAGTAATTTGCACGAATTTTGTTGACTCAGAGACTTATCATTGTAGTATACTCTGCTCGATGTTTTACAGTGCTTGTATTCTGTTAAGCCAGCCACTATGGTTTTCATCATTTTCTATCACCAACGTGATAACGGAATCAGAATTGCTTCGTAATTGCAGAGTGTCACTATCAGGATTATTTGGCCACGTGGATGAGCCGTGAAACCGCCACCTCACCATGGCAATGGGGGAATGGTGCACCGGTGAATTATACGAACTGGGCAACAGGAGAACCTAAGGGTGCGGATAATAATTGTATGATGTTGAATGGAGCAGCAAAGTGGATGGTATATAACTGTCATGGACCTCGTTTACTCTATGCCGGTTGCGAATCAGATGCTTACCCTGGATTACGTTAAGAAGAGTGCATGTTATTCACAGAGACATCAAACATTCATATTTATTGCATCTTAAATGAATTTTTNTTTTTATCGTGCTTCATTTGATGGCAATTGACTGCGATGTTTTTTGAAGTATGAGCTATGAGATGTTGCACGTTGAACAGCATTCAACAGTTGCTTTCAATAAAGTTCTCGCAAAAAACTGTTAATGCTGCAGGTCGTTTTGAGGATGCAATATGCTTGCATTTCAAATGAACAAATATGCTTCAAAAATAATGACACTTCCAGAGTGCCGATTGTGTGGCGGACACAGGTTAACGCGTAAACTCGTAAATTGTACACCACCCCCAACCTTAAGAAGAGCCGAAAGGGACAGCCGGAGGACACTGAGCAATTTGCCAACGAAACGAAGAGCGGTTTTGATGCCTCACTGTCAGGCCAAAATTACAGTACTTGAGCAGTATCCGATGAGTTGTAGCTGTGTGATAATTTCACTTCAGTACGACTGACTTGACTGCTCGATGCGGGGGGGGAGGGAGGAGGAGGAGCCTCGAAAACTGAGGAGCACCAACCCAAACCGAAAGCAGCTGTTCGGTCGATTAGTACCAATAATCAGCCTTCGGTGGTCGTCGACTGAAAGTTGGATTGACCATCTTCGGTGGCTACGGAAAATTAAGGGCCATCGAATTTCTTAGGCCACAACCGAAACTGAAAATTGCTATTCGATTGGTGACAAGCAAAGATCGGTAATATCGGATTTTTTTTCTGATTCGCACTTATATAGAGCTAAAAAATAACTACTTCACACTCAGTATAAGGTAGTTTACTCGCATGCATGAGAACGGAATTCCTTTGAGATATATCTACCTGTAGGTTCCTGTCGATATTCCTTTCCAGTCTTCATTCTTGCTCCAGTTCGTCACTCTCATTCCATGATCGATTGCTGAACAATTTCTTCACTCCTTTCCAGTGATGTTCACTGATATCCTCATTGCTTTGCTATTGATCCACTGTTATCGCTTTCGTTCACTCTTCACTGACGTGACGAAGCAATCAAAAATCAAGCATAATGAAGCAAGCATCATCACATGAATACTTTGTTGGACAAATCTAGCAATAGCTTCTGGAAAGCATACTGAATAATTCGAGAACTGATGTTGAATATGAATATTTGGAAAGTTGAGAATACAATTATTGTTGTTTGCGAGTCAACGTTAAGCAAACTATTCTGATGGTACAGCTGTTTCCCTTCTATGGACGAGATGCAAAATGTGATGCTGAATTCGTTCTGTGATTACTTTTCACACTCTCGCCCGGTTGTTGAGAACACGTAATTACTGCCTAAGCTATCACTGGAAACTAGAAATTTCGCTTATCGTTGGTGCAATACCGATCAAATTGTCCATATTCTGTTGGATAGATATTCATTCGTAGCTTTTAGAGCTTTTTTTTTTCGATTTCATTCTGATTGGAACCGTTCACATTCCCATGAGAAAATGAAAGTTTCAATTTATGCTTGCTTTCAAAATTCTATGCTTCATATTTTAAAATTTCACTTCAGATTTTCATGATTTTAGTTCACGGTATGATTGATGAACAGAGAACAATAAAAGATTATCAACGAGGTAGCTTTTACGAAAATCATTTCACTTCAATTCGTCCAACATCATGCAGTCATTTGATGAATATTCATGAAGGTTTTTGTTTCTTTAACGATGTTAACCACTGAGTTCGTTCCAACAAAATTTTTCAATTTCGCACTCTGCGGTTGTTTGACACGAATAGTATTTTATTTGATTCATAGACGTCGTATGAACACTCTGCACGATCATGTACATCCACGATTACCCAGTAATGAGCACGCAGTCAACAAACAAACTGATTGTTATGACAGCGCATAAAACTTTTCGACTCATTTTGCTATTGCTCCCTCATACATGCAGTGGAAATTAATGGTATTGAATGGTTTGCGTGAATCTCTATTGGCGAAATAATTCGAGAATCCTCGTGAAATTTCGTGCCGAAAATGAAAAAGAATTCAACGATACACTCAGTTTTCGTTCAATTTCAAACTTTTATTGTAATGTTTCGTCTGAAAGCAGTCAGTTAAAAGACTGCTCATCGACATGCTATACGTATGGATGCATAGACGTTTCAATCATTTTCACATGATTGCCCATAAAATGGACATCTACACAGCGGCGATCAATCCTCATTCAATTTTCTAATTTCTCATCNCTTTTATTTGTGCTGAATTAGTGGTTATCCGCGTCCATTTAATGCACATATCCGTAACATATACCACACATCGGTGAATATTGTCCGAGTGACATGTAAACACGAAATGTATTTCATACACATAGTATGTAATGTGCATATGACACATATTTTGTATGGATTATGTGTGAACGCAGAGCTGAAATATAATTTCAAAATGCTCTAGCGATTGCCTATGTGTAGTGCTGCTGAAAGCTTAACTTGCTCTGCTTCTTCATCATCTGAAGTGTCGTTTTTGTGAATGAGCATAAAACATAAAATCGATGCGCAACATCCTTCGACCAGCAGCGCAGCAACCAACCGACAAGCATCAGAGCAGCCAACTAACCAAACATTCAATCCACATCCCATCCCTCAGCAGCCATTAAGAAGTCCCGCTCGTTCGTTCCTGCATTCATTTCTCCGAACCAGCAACGCTCTCGCAATGCTCATTACTCATTTACAACTGCACTACAACATATTTCGTCGATATAGTTTATCACCTCTGCAAAATGATTTGTGCGTTCGCATACTAAATAAACGCCGATGAATGCCGCCGTATACAAATAAACCGTTCATTTAACACATTCATTCTCTTCACTGGCGATGCGAAAATTTATTTCAAGCACATGATACTGCGATGAATTTGTTGAACGCAATTAATGGTTTTGTTGCGTCGAGTTGATGGCCGCCGACTCGGTGATGTCTAGCAATAAGAGAAATTTTAATTAACATCACAGTGCATTGTTTTTTTTTTCCCCCATTTCTAGTACTCATCCAGTTGTTGAGCATTATTTTTGACAGTTCTCGACAATGAGAAATTACTCAGAAGAGCGTCGTGCATTTTGAATTCAACAAACGCAAAATGGAGAGTAGTGATGCAAAAAGTGTTCGTCAATAATTCAATCGTCAAATACATCCATGTTTTATTTGCTACTTGTCGGTTCTTTTCGTTTTGATTCCGCTCACTTCGCGCTCTCACAAATTCTCATTCTATCATTTTCTTTCCTCCACACAATCGCAAAAGCCGTTGTTGAAATTCAAGAGCAGCAAAAAAAAATACAGCGCTGCGCTGTTAAAATTCGCAAATTCACGAAATGTTTTTGTTTTCATTGTTTCATTGTTCAGTCGACGATGAATTCTGAATGCAAACGAAACGCTAGTTGTCCCAATAAATCTTGA